AATCGTTAGCTTCAATCCGCAAACGTCGTCGTTTGGTTGCACGCCATTGCCATAATTCGCTGACCTTAAAGAGTTCATCGATGCTAGTCATATTGTTCCAAACCGCGTGTCAATGGTTCGATTATTTCTCCCTAACCTTGAACTCAGTCTCTCCTCTTTCACTGCTCTCAGCTAATAGTCCAATAACTGGTTTGCAAGCGATAATTGATGATGTGATACACTGCAAACGGTACGATAGGGAATACTTTTGTACTACAGATTTATATATGTACATACAACTTGCCCCGGCCAACCAGTTAGATGAATCAACTCCGCACCCGCCAAGCTTCACCCAAAAATTTCTAGCAGTTGACGCCGCAGAAGATTGCGCAAACAAATTACATCAGAGCACTTTCAGCGTCAATCAACAACATCACCCGCTATCTTCTTGAATGCAGTCAGTTCAACCTTCATAACATCACGAAGTCCCTAAATCGCAGTCATCAGTATTTCTTTTCAGACATAATGCCTCCTCGTCGTATCGTCGTCGCTCCCGCAACTCGCCGTGCTGCTCCCCGCGGAGTCTTGGGGAATACGTGGGCTACTCTCACAGATCCTGATAACGCTTCTACAGTGAGAGCTATTGCTACTTTTGGTGTATGTGATTATGGGTTGTCGTGGGGGGCCGTTTGTTGGCAGGCGGTGCCAGGATTGGGACACATTCTGATGATCAGATCCATTGCTAATACTATTTTGTGCAGGCCGCTATCGCGTTCTTATCGAGCAGTTGGAACGAGATTCTGCTGCCCGCGTGAGTAATGGCTCGTGCTCATTTCTATCAAGCGCTAGCTGTCGGTCTTGTCATCACCCTGGCTAACATTGTTCAGTCTATAAGTTACCAGCAGCAGCAGTCTTGGGCTTTTTGAACCGGCAATCAAGCAGGCGTCAATCATTCGACGTGATATCACTTTATCACCCATGACGGAAAGCCTGCAGTGATGCTGACTTAAGAATCAAACAAATAAGCAGCATCCCGGCGCCGCAGCTCTTCTGATTTCATCTCATTGTATATTATTCTGGACGATCCTTTCACTTTTCAGCTATCATACCCCTTTAGAAATTCAGCTCGGAGTTCAGCTGTACATGGCTTGTTGTTGAAACATTACATCTTGGCGGACAGTTGAATTGTTCAGTTCATCTCAATACCTGGGCGGGAATACGGAGGCGACCTCCTGCCGTTTGCAGACACTGTGTCAGCTGGCCAGCTAAGTAAGTGCGCTTTTTAGGTTCCAATTATGCATGCCTCGTGTATCTCCAGTGTGAGTTGGTTTTTTTTTCCTACTCCACTAAATACATGAAATATTTCAGTTGAGAAACGTTGGAGATCGTAGGAATCAACTTGTGATGGAAACGCAATGCGCAGCGACTCAAGATAATCAGAATTTAATTTACAGATGGGGGTGTCTATGTGAAAATCAGCAAACAGATATAATACAGCAAACGATGATGAGGGGTGTACCAATCTGCACTAAAAGCTCTCATACATCATTTTATGATACATCTCTCAGAGCAAGAAACCCATTGCTGCCAATGGGCCTAATGGGGGCCTCTTGACCATCTCCGTCATTCTCGTCGAAATCGTTAGACTGTAGACGTCAACATTTTCTAGTTCCACCTCAATTAGATCCCCCGCCTGTGCCGGCGCCAGCTTCCTCGACTGTCTCACCACGCAGGGAAAATCGAAAGGTAGCATTGATCCGATGTAAGCCCTTTCACCAGGATCAGTACTGGCTTTTGCTTCGCCCTTCACTAGACACTGCCATTTCTTCGGTACTTCTGCTTCGTGGTGATGAAATGCACGGAAGAGTAGCTGGCATGCCCAGAAAGACCGAGACCGACGTTGTGCCCTATCCTTTTGCATGTTCTGCCATGTGCCGCGACTAATGAGAGCGTCAACGGCTGCTCTGGGAAAAGGAACCACGGCTTCAGCTTCAGATGGTCGTACAGGACGGCCATGTCTATCTTCATATAAAAGAGCAGACTCAATTTGCCAATGCGCTAATAAATCTGCGAAACGACGGAGTGGACTAGTTGTTTTCAGGTACTGGTCCATACCCAAGAAATCGTGGCGATCGGGGGATGAAGTGGTATATCCCTTAGGGAGCCCGAAAGACGACAGACCCTCTGCTGCCGCTTTTGAAAGCAATCCGCTGGTGACTTTTCTATATTCCGGATGATACATCGTCGCAGAGTAAATCGCCGGGATGCCACGATCCGCACACCATTTGCCGGCAACCTCGCCGGCAAGCAACATGACGTGGGATACTAGATCATCTCTGACGCTGTCAATCTTCTCGAATATGTCGACGACTTGAGCTTTGCTGCGGATGGATGGGTCACCTATATAGTGGACGGGAATGGCAGTACGTGCAGAATATAGGTCGATCCTGTTCCTGCCAGCGTAAACGGAGACGTTTGCCGGATATCTGTTGCTGGCGTTCAGTCCGCCCTTTTCAGTACGACGATCAGATCGAGCACACATGAGATTGAAGAGGGTGCGAAGAAGCTCGTGGTGTTCGACGGGCACTTCATCGATCAGCCCTGGTCTTGATCGTTCATGAAATTCATCACCGACTTGTAGAGTCATAGTGGGTACAGCACTGCGGTCAACACCTAGTAGACTGCGTAGTCTGTTTGGTGTGAAGTAAGTGACATTATTGATGATGCCACTCCGGACATCTGTTTCTAGAATGTCGCCGTTCTTGTTGACCTTCGCGCTGAAGGTGATTGTAGGTCGGCCAGGCGCAAGTGAGAAGTGCTTATTTGTTAGTCGGCCGGGAAGCATAGGATACACCCTTTCGGGGGTATAGAAAGAACGCTTCAGAGACTGTGCCCGTTCAGCAATTGCTGAATCGTGTGGGATATAGGCAGACGGATTCGCAACATGCACTCGGATCCAGTATGTATCTTCCGAGCCATGAACCGATTCTATCGAAAACCCGTCGTCAATCTCTGCAGCCTCGACAGCATCAACACAGAAAACCGGAAGATTTCCCCAGTCCGTCCTAATGTCCTTCATCTTATCGGCAAGGTTCGCCTTATCAATAGTCTCAGCAAGTTCGCTGGTGCTTTCAACCATCTTGTCAATAGCAGGTGTGAGGCCATGGCCCGGCAATTGGATGTTGTCCGTTAATAGGTGTTGGTTTTCCCAGGGCTTGAAAACACCAATTTCTTGCAAGAACATATAACATGTTGCTGCTGACAGATGGTCAAATTGGGGATAGAGTCTAGTATTTCTGACAATGTAGGAAGCAGCAGCTCTCAAAGACCCAGCAGTCATCTGAGCCGGGTGCAGTACATATGAACGGAGGTAAGTGATAATTTTCAAGTCGTTCTCAGTAAAGCTCTCTGCTTCCTTCTTCAGGTACGTCATTTCTTCGGCGGTTTCTTCAGCGGACAGCTTTTTCTGAGAAGGTGAGATTGACGATGAAGTACCTGGTTGACGTAGTTCCCTGCTGATCGCAACAAGACACCTCGCCTTCCGAACAAATGTGGCAACAGGATGATCTTTTGGCATTGAGTGGATCTCTCCTTTGAAGAGTTTTCTGCGACAGCCTTGGTATTCCCGCACCCATTCAATGACTTGATTGATTGCATCAGACCGTTCTTTTGGTTGTATGGTGAATGATTCGGTAAATGGACCCGTTTTGTTAGCACTGATGAAATAGGGCGTCTTGTCAATTGCTTTTCGAATGGCATATCTCAGTGTGTCCGGGGCAGTTTTGGGATCCTGCTTCAGAATGTCGCGCAGAATCTCATCTACCGTGATGATGCGATAGTCTGTCTTGTGCGCAAGAGATTCGTATAGAATATCCAAGCGCTCGTGGTACTGCCGGTGATACCCTATCGCTTTTGCGTCAAAATCCCTCATCGACTGAATGAACGAAGCACCTAGACGGCGGGGCACACCCCCCTCCCTAGCTATCTGAGGCAGAGGTCCATCCTCAACCTGCGCATCTGGGAAGTAAGGCAAGATATCGTCAAGGAGCTCCGGCGCAACAAACTTTTCACAGATGAGCTCGGCATCTCCGAACTGTGCAATGCGCCAATTGCCTCTTACTGAGTAGAACTGCTGCTGCGACCCAACAGCACGAACGTAAAGTGCCAATTGTCCGTTCGAGAATCCACTTGCTCCTAAGACAACCAGGTCTCCGGGTGACAGATATAGAGAGGCGTCGCTTTCCTTATCTGCGTACTCATGACTCTCAGTTGTGAGGAAATCCTCCATCTCATTCTCCTGAATGAGCTCCTCACTCAACATCGTTCCATGATGCCCCTTTGTGCTTCGTTGCTCAATCCTCCGGACAGGGTCAATGTTTGGCAATTTACCTTCGTCCACGACAGCTTTGAGATATTCTCTAATATCGCCCTTCCCGCCCTGCAGCTCCTTGAAAAGGATGTCATCTTTTGAGTCGAGGAGGGAGTATGCCTTTTCCGTGGCTTCACATCGCTGATGCCATTATACTCGTGTCAGTTATTGTTTCCTAACCAATATTCGAATGAAAACAGCTAGTCAGTCAATGATCCGGCCATACCTTCTTCGTAGAGGCAGATCCTCTTTTTTGAAGCCTACACAAAGGCCTTAGACTAGCTAGCGCCGTCTGTCGCAACGCGACATTCGCGATGATAGTGCATGAGGGAAGACCGGTCCTGGAGACTCGCAGTCTCGCCGCACAAGGAATCATCACAACACCTTCTTTCCTAACAAAGCACACGCCACAGTCACTTATGTTGTTCCCAGAACCCTTCTTCGTCGTCAAGGGATATTTGCAGGCCTTGATAAACTACCCGTCGGTTGCAAATTACCTGCGAACCGGTCTAAAAAAGTCATACGCGGGTCTGTAGCCGCAATAACATTCTGAGCTACCATCCGCAATCACGAAGAATCGTGGAGCACAGGCTGGCGATTATTGGCATAAGTGTTATATCTATGATAAAAACAAAAATTTTTTCAATTTTATGGCAAGATGGCCGAGCGGTCTAAGGCGGCAGATTTAAGTCAAGGTACTGGAACTCTGCTAGTGGAAACACTGCGTGGGTTCGAACCCCACTCTTGTCAAATCATTTTTCTTCTTTTTTCCTGTTTTTATGCGTTCCTTATCTGTTATGACCTGAATCTCATCTCACATCTCATATCCCCATGATTTAAGCAGCCAATCTATTGCAGTCCAAGGAAGGCAAGATCAGAATGTAAAGGATTCCGTTTACGCTAGATGTAGGATAAGGGTGCCCAGTGTACTTCAAGCAAGTGTCGTAGCGGAGAACGTGAATACATCCATCCCTGGTCATTGTCTGCCGAAAACGCGTCATCCATGTTGTATGGGAGGTTCAGGGCGTCATGATATCGTAGGACATTATCATTATCAAGTTTCTGAAATTGTGAATTGCAGCAAGATCATTCAAGTAAGAGGATATAATTCTCTTCTCCCCTTCTGTGTCTCATTTTATTCAATCCTGCCTTTCATTTCCTCCTCCAGACTTGGCCATCTCGAAAACACGCGTTCCGTCGTTGTCTTGACGTGCCTACACTTACTCTTCTCAATTAAAGTCATGGGCCATCGCTGGCTTGTCCTATCGCTGCTTACATCACTGGCTGCATCCCTGCCTGACATCACATTCATCTTACCAGAGGGAGGAGAAATCTTCAAGGGGGGTGAAGTTATCAGAGCCGCTTGGCAGTTCTCCGGCAATGATACGTACGTTCCTGCGACGACAAAATACGATCTATATCTGTGCGCGGGTGGCGTCGAACATGATACTCACGTATGAGAGTCTGCTCTTCAGAATTTGATTGGTTTTGGTCCATGTAGCTCTTTCTCAGCTTTTCCCTTGGTCTCATAGTTACTGATCGTACTATTAGGAGCAATTGATGCCGATTATCGAGAATGCTAAGCTAGCTGATGATAGCCATTCGGCATCGGCAATGGTCCCTCGCCATATAGGGCAAGATCATGATAATGCTTAGTATGGAGACTTCGTAGTCATGATTACCAGGACACCTTATCACTACTTCCTGGCACTATGGCTGATGATATCATGCAGTTTCCTTCAAATGATCATCAATCCTGCCGGCGATGCAACAGTCATTCATTCAAAGCGATTTGGATTCATGTCACTGACAGGCAAATTTTCTAATCGCATTTCTGACATCTTATTCCACCTTCACCCAACAGTCACCCAAGCACCTCCTATTCCCCCAAGTGTTGGAGAGCTCCTTAAGCGCCAAGTCGGAGCACCTTACGCCAAACAGACGGGAAAGACAAAGTACGCACCTGTGCCCAAGCAGCCGGGTACGAAGATCACTAAGAAAGCCACCAAACCTTTGTACCCAACAAGTTCGTACAAAATTGCGTCTGTGCCTTTGGATGACGCTACGATCAAGACGACCATAAGTGCCAGCGCTACATTCAGCACAAAGAGTATCGAGAATACTGCCAGAGCAGCGAGCCAACCCACCGATGGATCTGTAAGTGGTACCAAAAATAAGAGAGGGGAAGAGGATGAGATGTTGAAGATTCTCAGGAGATGGGCCGATTGAGCGTCTGGCGGATAAAGATCATCGCCATTGCATTGATATAGCGAGTCAAGGCGGAGAAAAGTTTCTTTCCCTCTTTGCTACCTCCACACATGCTCGTCCAGTTGATGCGCATTCGCTTTCATATCCTGTCCTTTTCTGATCTTCTCGAATCGTCATGCATTACCTTACGCCATTTATGACCTAATTGCAACTATTTCTCCTCAATCAAGTGATAACCCCCAGACCTTGAGTCATTCCTATAATGACAGTCAACAGTGCCGGCTCCCGTCGTGTTTCAAGTCCTTCCTCTCTGCTCTAGTCTAAGGATTGGGGAACGAGCACAGAACAAGGAAGGTTGCACAGAACTAACCATGGGGGTTTCTTCCCCTGGAACCTGTGTGTGTTGATGGTAGATGTAGATGATAACGAGTCGACAAACAAGCCCCAGAGGGATTGGCTTGCCTCCACATTCACAAAGACCACGCCATTTTCCATAATCTTTGAGTACGCAATATGCTCATTTCCTGATTTGAAATGTCTCAAGTGACTTTTCCACAATTGGCAGCATTTCTGCAAGCGTGTTCATATCTCTCATGGTAGCAGGCACATCTTCGCCTTTCCATCTGATAAGCTATGACGTGCTTTGTCAGTGATTGTGTCCAGAGATACGATAAGCAGGATTCCTCTAAAACTCACCTGTCCAATTGTATCATACTTTTCCTCCTTCGCGACGTATTCCCTTATAACTTTACCCGTGTCCAGATCTATATAGACTCGTGTGTCCCTTAATCGAACAAGAACATTATCCAATCGCATGAAAAAACGCATTAATAGGAGAAGTCGCCCGGGCATTACGCGAATCTTGACAGATAGCAGTGAAATGCCATTGTCTGCCAACTCATCCTCGTATAGCATAATATCATCGAAAAGAAGAATAGGATCAGGTCGTTTGAGGAGCTCTATCGGAATTGGTTCTTTGGAGGGTGCGAATGATTCTGCAGACCGCAATAATGTGCCCTTGTAGTCTGTCGTATATGACCAGTCAAATGGCCTGACATATTCCTTGATATCCTCTGATGTGCTTTGCCTAGGAAGACTATATCAGAGTCGCCGCACACTCGTACATGTAAATGTGGTGTCCATCACCTAGCTACGTAGTTACTCACCTGCTCTTCTTCCATAATGAGGAATGCGCCACCTGTAGCATCTTCTCGCCCGTCTTATCAACTCTGTCTAAAGCGTCAAAGGCATTAAAAGATATGCCCCATCCCGAATGCTCATGGGATATTGTGACATAGTTATCACCGAATATCATTTCTGGAGGTGGAATTCCTAGCTTCTGGGTCATCTCTTCAATTGGACCAGCTTTCAATATAGGAAGCTTCTGTGTCATAATCTTGAAGCCCTTAATCTCGAAGCTATTCGGCTTGGGCGCCGTTGTGAGGGCAAAGGTCGTATTGACCGAAGTTGGTAGCGAAGGCATGACTTAGAGAAAGATATGTACGCAAACGTTCCTTGCTGAAGAATAGTGTGACGATCAAAAGTGACTTTCTTCCTTTCCTTCCTTCTTGTCTCTTTCTTTTCTCCTTCTTCTCTCCTCCTTCTTCTTTTTCTTCCTCTGTGCTGCTACTATCACCGGCTGTCCTGCGATGTCACTTCATTTGATACTTTATTGCTCTTCTCCATACTACACTCTCATCACCCCTTCGGTTGCGATCGACACCTGATATATCAGGCTTTCTCCAACAACGGGTGTCGCGCCAACTGGAAAGCCCCATTGGAGATTAACCAATCAGATTTATTTGTAGCCGCGCGTTTGCTTTTTGATCGTGTGATCCAACCAGGCGAGGCGATGCTTATGTAATCAATTCTTAATTAAGAGAAAACTAAGTTCTAAGTTGAGGATCTCCTCGACTATTTAGACAGAAAACCAGCGATATTTAAGCTGAAGAAGAACAAGTCTAAGTGCTATCTAAAACAAAGGAATAAAGAGGAT